GTGAGCATGGGGGCCCTTCTCCCACCGTCCTGGGGGACACAGCTGGGGGCTCTTGCATCACCTGGAGCTGCTGGGACCGGAGGTGGCTTCAGGTCCTCATGCTCCGTGTTCAGAAATGGGCAGGTGGGACAACGGGAGCAAGTGGCTCCTCCTGATGCCCACTTGGTCCTGCTTTTCCATCCCTCCCCAAGGGCAGGTGATGCCCTGCTGGGGACCCCTGGGCTTCACCAGTGGCCAGACGCTGTTCCCGTGGGCAGCGGACCCTCATGTCTCCTGCGCTAAAGGCAGCAGGGAGGGGACCTCAGCCCTTCCTCTGCTTCTCCTGCTGGGATTTTGCGAGTGGAGCTCACCCCCAGCTCTGAAAGCAAAGCAGCTCTGCAGGGCAGAGATGGAGCCCAGCAAACAACCCTTCTCTTTGCTGCAGGGCAGGAGGGAGGGGGGAACCATGAAGTCTGGCCCTACCACAGGTGTTTACCATGGGCTGTGTTCCTCCAGGCTACCACACATACTGCCACTATCTGAAAATCGAGGTCAGCCAGTCCCACCCGGTGATGAAAGCCTTTTGCTTGCTGCTTCTCCAGCTAGCCGGGCCAGAGGGGCCACCGGGGCTCCGGACCAGCAACGTGGAAGAAGGTGAGACTTTCCCACCACCAACCAGGGGGATGCATGGCCATCGCTGTGGGGTGGCATCGGGGTCTTCTCTGGGGGTTTGCTGCTCTTCTAGAGATGCTGTTGGTGCCTTGGGGTAAAGGGACCGCTGAGGGTTGTGGTTCTGCTGCTCCTTTCACCTTTACGCCACCTCCTCTATTTGGTGTGTGACCATCTCCATCCCAGGAGCTGCCACCGTTCCTGTGCAAGGACAGGACGGGGCTCATCTGCTTTCACCCCAGGGTGTAGATGGCATCTGGCCAGCCTCAGCGAGGGGGAACTGGGGCTGAAATCGTTCCCCCCTCCTGTCTCCTTTCAGGCATCCAGCTGATTCAACCCAAGAAGGTGCCGCCAAGCAGAGCCAGGTTCAAGCAGAGCCGAGCCCGGTGGTGGCTGGTCTACACACTCCTCAACAACCCCTCACTGACAGCTTGCCGGAAAACCGCCCTCTCCGGCCCCGCAGCTAATGGCACCCAGCTCAGCTCCCCCAAGCCCTGACCTCCAGAGAAACCCCCCACCTCTCTGCCTCCCACACATGCTCCCATCCCATCCCACCCCTGCCTCCTGTTGACTCTCCTCCCACACTGGCAGGAGTTTTGGGCACCTCTTGCCCCTCTCCAGCCTCTGATCCCTCTCCAGTGGCAATGGGGGCTGGTTTTTAGCTCTAGGTCTGTGCTTGAGCCCCTACCAAGGTCCAGAGGTGAAGACACGGCCAAGGCAAATGGGTCACCTCCAAGCCTGACCGAGATGGAGAGGAGTTGATGAGCCAAGCTAAACCCTTCAGGCATTTCAGAAACATTGTCTTAAGTGTCACTCCTGCAATGAGCTCACCAGTTCTCAACAGCTGCCTATCCAACATGTGGCAAGGCAGGCACAAGTCCCCAGCACCAGGGCAGTAGGGAGAGAGAGAGGAGGAGGGGGTGGATGTGCGGAGGGATTCTCAGCCTGACTGAGCACAAAGAGCTACCTGCATCTCGGCACGGTCTCCCTGCGGAGAAGGTCCCTGCTGCCAACCCCATCCTCAGCTTCTCACTTTCAGGTCTGATCCTGGCTCTCCTCGGGTGCTGTACCTAACCTTGGGATGCTTCTCCCCCCCCCATATTGTGAAGGCTGGAATCCCAGTCTGCTCTGGGCCATGAGGTTGCAGAGCCATTTGTTTTCCACTCCCTGTAACTCTTGTCCCTTTGGTGCTTCTTGCTGCCGCCCTGTTTTGTTTAAAGCCAGCGGTTCCCCAGGGCCAGTGACCCTCTGAGAGAGCTGAGCTTGAATCCATAGAAAGCAGTTTTACACCGCGCTTGGACGTGCTGAGTCGGGGAAGGTTAATAAATCACATACCTCATTCCTATGCTCGGGGTGTGCTTGGTCTCTTGACCATTCCCAAATAAGCTGGGCCTGGCAGGAGGTACACGAGGACTGTTGTAGTCATGTCTCTGGGTGATGGTTGGGACTGACCTTGCTCAGCAGAGGCTTTGTGGTAGATCTGCTTGACCTGGGGGTGATGGGACCAAATCTGTGATCCTTCTCCCCACCTTAGGGAAATTTTAACGCAAAGCTGGTCGGTTTGCTTTCCCATCAAAATGTTTGGCCCCTAAACCACAGCTCCCATGAAGGCTGGGAACTGAAACAGGACATTTTGTGGCTAAAGCACCAAAGGTAGGTGTCCAAGGTGTTGCTGGATCACCTCTTCCCATGATGTATCCCCTGAAAATCCTGCCTTCGGTGGCCGGAAGGATGCCCGGCATCAGCCCACCATTGCAGGTGGCAAGCAGGGCTCTTAAGTTGTACTGGTGGCTCCTTACTCTTCCATCTCAACACCATCTCAAACACCTCAGCCTTGCTAAAGCAGGTGCCTTTGAGATTTTGCAGCCCACCCTGCACGGAGCAGGGCTGCTGTGCCATCCCCTCTGCTCGATGGGGTCAATGCGGTTTGAGCCCCTCGCCCCAGGGTGAGCAGACCTGCTCTTCACAGGCTTTCAAGGACCCTATGCCCTCTTGCTGGGGTGCTTGCAGCGCCATCGGTGTGGCTTGGGGGTGAGCGAGGTTGAGCCCAGTGCTTTGGGGTTTGCCTGGAGTGCCCTGGCATCTCCCCAGAACATTGAAGCTTCTTGGGTGGGAGGCAGCCCCCTCCCCAAGAGCCGGACCCCCTCCCTTTCCATCCCAGCAAAGAGAGGGAGGTCCCTGCCTTCATCTGCTGCCTGCAGGCGCTGCCCAAACAGCCACCCGGTACGCTTGGATGCTCAAAGCCCTGTCGCATCTGCTGCCCTGACCAACACTGTTTTAATCGTATTTGATTACTGTCTGGCACATAGTACAACGTCACCAAACTGGGTGACAGCAGTGGCACCGGAGGCAGATCTGGGTCATTTTCTTTTTAAGATAGCAGGAGCCCAAGGCGCAATTCCTGCTTTTCAGCTCTGGGCTTTGTGTGCTTGGGTCTGCGTGTCTGAGCACGGGAGAGATGCGGTGCTGGTGGGTGCTGGGTGTCCTGCGTGTATCGGGTGAAGGGATGTCCTAAGGCAAAAGCTGCGCCTTTCCCTTGCAGCCCATCCCAACCCATCTCCAGCCTCCGAGGGGCTGGGGCTTTGAAGGCAGCCTTGGTAATCCCTGAAATCTTTCGCAGCTCTGGGCCATGGGTGGAGCTGGATTTCAGCATCTGTTTACACAGCCCTGCTCCGAGGCTTCCTGGAGATATCTTGGCAGGCGGTGGGCTGGGGCCGAGGTGAGAGATGACAGCCCTGGGAGGAAGACAGGAGGTGGCTTCATTGATTTGCTTGTCTTCTTTCCTTTCTTTGACATAAGCAGGGTGCCCTGGGGGTGAACGGAGCTCCTCTTCCTCATGGTGGCTTCTCACCTCCTCTCTAAACCCCCACCATCAGTACAGCCATGGGATAGCTCTGCCCCTGCGCGTCCGCAGTCCTCTCCACCCAACCTTGAACCGATAGGGAGGAGGTTCAGGGAGCTGATCTGGCTGAAAACCGCCCTTAACAAAAAAAATGCCTGCGTGGGGAATGGAAATTCGGGTCTGGGTCATGCTGTGGCTTTGCAAACCTGAGGGACAGAGAGGAGCAGATGGCAGGTTGTGGCATCCCAGACTTGCACCAGCTGGTGGCCGTGGTGGGTCAGGATGGTGATGCCAAGTGTGGTATCACCTGCAGCATCCAACCCAGGAGCTGCATGACAGGGTGCCCTGTTTGTTATGAATGAGAGATGCTTAACATCACTAATAACTTGCCATAAAAGCTATGAGTAAACTTGGCAAAGGCGGAGGAATTCACTTTTCTGGCAACAAAACCGCCACACACCAGCAGCTCTGCAAGGCGAGCAGAGACTTTCAGGCATGGCTTAGGGCTCCTGGGAGCCTACATTTTATTTTTTTATCCTTATTCCAGACTCTAAGCCCTGTTGCCAGCTGAGGTTGCAGGAGTAAGCTCCCATACCCCCCTGTTCCCAGGCAGACAGGGAGGGGAGGACCCCGGCTGGGATAAAATTGATGTTAAAAGTTGTATCTTACGAAATGAAACGAAGCTCTTGTTGGGGCCGCGATGTTTTTCATCCTTTCTGCCTGTAATGGGAAAAATATGTGCTTGCTTGTTGCCATCAAAGGCCATTCGTGCAAGGAGCCGCTGGCTGTTTCTGCCTCGGGACCCCCGCAGAGACCTCGGCGCCGTACCCGGACGGTGTGGGCGTATGGCAGCTCCTCGGCTGCCCCTTTCCTTACCCTACGAGCTGGCTGGATGCTGAATCGTGGGGCTGGAGAGCTTGTGTGGAGGCTCGAGGCTCCGGGACAGCTGCTTTTCAGCTGGTTTTGATGTCGCTGCCTTCCCCTGCCCGCTGCAGGCACCGATGGGGGGAGTTTTGCGTACCCTAATAAATGTGTCCTGCCTCCAGGGTCATCATGGAGGGATGCTACAGCGCAGGGAGGGCTTTGGGGGAGCTGGGGGGAAAGGGGATTGGTGATGAGTTGTGGTACCCCAGATCATGGGGGGTTTGGGGGTGCACAGAGGCAGCACACACCAGCTTGTTTAAAAAAAAAAAAAGAAGTATTTATTGCGCTTGGGACTTTGCTGTCCGTACAGCTTTGGTTATAAGGCGAGGGTGGCTGCAGGGGGTCCGTCCAGCTCCCGCAGGCGAGCACTGGCAGAAGGCAGGAAAGCTAGACTGCCCCTGCCTCGGGGTGGGGGAGGTGGAGATGGTCAGCCCCCCCGTCACGAGACAAGGGGTCCCCCAGCACCCTGGGGCAGCCGGGTATGGTATATATGTCCCACGTGGGAATGCTAAAGCACTTAAAGAAAATTGTGTTTATGGCTTATAGGTCAGCTCAGCCTCTTTCTCTCTCATCTGGATTTTCCCAATCTTTCTTCCTCCTGCTCCATCATAAGCCCCTGCTCGGTTTCCCATCAGAGAGGAGCACTGGGAAATTATTTTGATCTCTTTGGGCTCAATCGGAGCTGCTCGGTGGTTCCAGCCCAGCCGAGCGTTTTGTTCCGCAGGCTTCAACAGTGAAAGGGAAGCGGGGGGGGAAAATCAGCTGCATCACATCTGGGAGAGGTACTGAGGGTGGCAGGGCCTGCTCCTGCAACATGCAGGGAGGGTGCAGGCACCCTGGGTGCTCCCAGCACCCAGCCAGCGGGAGCCCTTTGTGCTCCTACAGGGATGAAGCCTGCGGGAAAGCTTCCTCTGCTCCACAAAATGGCCTGATCCAAGCCCATGGCCCCATCCAATGTGTCCTACCGTACCCATCCTGCTTACAAAGCACCATCATATCTCTGTCCCCCGGAGCCATGTGTCCTGGGACCCCAGGACCCCGTGCCTAGGCTATTCCCCCATTCTCAGACTGGTCCTTCTGCTCCCTGTGCTTCACGTGAGGCTGGTGGTAGGAAGGATGCGCCTGGCCGGCCAAGGGCCCAGGCGCTGGTCACGGCAGGGGTGTCATCTTTGGTGCCGCTGGACCGACGGGATCCTCTGCGAAAGATCCCCTCCCTGGTTGTGGCTGGCTGCTGCGGGTGGAGGAGGGCTCGTGGTGGGCTCTGAGGATGGGTGATGACCACCCTGTTGAGGGTGGACTTCAATCCTGCAGCCGCACTTTGGTCTCAGAAGGGAGTTAACTCAGGAGGTGGCAGATTTGGACGCCTGGAAAGTGGCAGCAGGGTGTGGATACGCTCTACATCACCCGAGCTTGTTTGAAGCTCTCAACTAACGGAGCCCAGCCCTGAACCCCATCTAAGGAGGGGTTGAACTACCAGCCCTGGGCCTGAGTCTCAGCCCCCTTTGACTCCTGACCGCCTGCAGTTCCCAGAAGCTCAGCAAAGGCATGGCACTACGTGAAGATAAATGCTACAGAAAGAGGGGGAACCCCCAAGGCACCGTTTCCTTCTCCCCCCTTTAACAGCAGAGTGCGATGCCCAAAGCCAGCAGGAGGGTCCCCAGGTGGACCTGGGGCACTGCTCCTCCAGCCCTGCTCTTTGACTCCCTTGGCATGTGGTAAACTATCACCAGCTTTTCTCCAGCACCAGAGGGATCCATTTCATCCCCCTTGTAGCAGCTCTGACCCCCGAGGTGGCTGGCTTGGGGGTCATCTCGGAGCAGGTCTTCAGCTGGATTCTCCGACCCAGCCAAGGCCACGTTGACCGAGACATCCCTCGTGCCCACGTCATTGACAGCGAGGCAGGTGTAGATGCCTTCGTCCTCCTTGCTGAAGTTGGGGATGGCCATGGTGCCGTTCTTGAAGACCAAGAAGCGCTCCTGGCTCTGCTTGACGTTTCCATCCCGCGCCACGTTGGGCCCATTGATCTCGACGTGGCGGCTGGAGGTCTGGATCTTCCACCTGATCTCTGGTGGGGGGCTGCCCGCCACGCTGCAGTGCAGGGTCAGGGTGAGGCCCTCGTACATGACAGTGTTGTCCAGATTGGAGAGGTAGGTGAGCTGCACAGAGGGAGCAACACAGTGGTGGTCAGGGATGTCTGTCACCGCCCTGCCCTTCAGCCTGCTGGGAGCCACACACAGGGTAGACCCCCCCTTGGTGACGGAGACAGAGGTGTTCTCGGTCCACTTCTTCAGCCAGAAGACCTTGCAGGAGCAGTTGAAGGGGTTGTTGAAGATCTGCAGCTGGGACAGGGAGGGCAGGTTGTTAAAGGTCCCCTCGGCCAGGGTGGTCAACTCGTTGTCGTTGAGCCAGAGGGAGCGCAGGTCCTTCAAGGAGCGGAAAGCGTCCCGGGGCAGCCCGGCCAGGCGGTTGTTGTTCATCTTCAGGATCTGCAGACCGCTGAGGTTACGGAGGTCCTGCCAGGGGAAATCCGCAATCTTGTTGTGGCTCAGGTCCAAATTCTTCAGGTGCACCAACAAGGCGAAAGCCCCCGGTTCCACCACCCCAATCTGGTTGTAGCCCAACCACAGCGACTGCACTTCGGGAACCTCGGAGAAGGAGCCCTGCCCCAACCAGCCGATCCTGTTGGCCGACAAGGTGAGGATGGTCACGTTGGAGGACAACCCCTCGGGTACCTCCTGGAGATCCTTGTAGGCGCACTCGGCCAACAGCCGCCCGTTCTTCTTGGTGGAGCAGGAGCAGGCGCTGGGACAGGCCAGGCACGGCCCCAGGAGCACGGCCAGCCCCAGGCAGCAGAGCAGGGGCCTCATCCTTCCTCCTGGGAACAGAGACGGAGGGGGAATGAACAGGACGGGTCTAGCCGAGATGGGGATCTGCTTTTTCTTGCCAAGTACTAAGAGGAAGCGGCAGAAGAGGGAAGCATCCATGTGATTATCCCCAGCACTTCAGCTGGCAAAGGCTGTTTGAAATATTCCCTAATCTGAAGAAGGCATTTCCTCGCCAAGAGCAGAGCCCTCGACTGTGTATGTGAGCGGGGAACTTCCCCCTAAACCCTTTCCTTCCCCCACTAGAAAATGCCTCTTTTTGATCTTTGATGAAATACCAACCCCCCGGGATGCTGTTTCCCCAGGTTTTGGGATGAAAAGCGGGAGCTGGGGGTTCAGACTTCACCCTGCTGAGGCTGGAATTAGGGGAAACAGAGCAACCACAGCTCTTTCACAACCAGCCTTCCCCTAAACCGTCAAGCTGTTGGGATTTTCAGCATGCTTTCAGACCTCAAACCAACCCCCCATCTCCATCTTTTTCCATGTCATGGAAAAAACCAGCTTCTCAAGTGCTTTTTCTCAGTGAGAGAGTGTGGGGTCCCTGGCTGCTGGAAGTCTTTAGAGTGAAATACTTCTGAGCTAACTCCTTACTCCCCTTCTTCTTGCCGTGCAAAGGGGACTGTGCACGCTCGGTTCCCAGCGTCTGGAAGCTGTGTCCCACCGGGGAAGAGGTTAACCGTGGCTCTGCGAGAAGCTGGCAGCGAGACCCCTTTGTCTCTGCCTCGTAGGCAAGTTTTGCTGCTCCTTCCAGTCCCCAACCCTGTCATTTAGAGCAGGAGGGGGGAGACGTTTTATTGGCAATGGAGAGGCTGAATAAGACCTGCACAACAACTGCGGGGGGGTGGGGGCAAAAAAAGGGGACACAAAGGTTCCTGTCCTGCAGGGCTAGACCACCCCAAGGGCTGGGGTTCAAGGGATGGGGAAGGAGCCCCGAGGGCTCTGGGGGTGATGGAGGGGTGAGAGTCCAGCAGTGCGGGGCGGGGGTGGGGTTTCCCCTTGGCTGATGCATTTAAAGCCCCTGGCTTTAATTGGGTGTCCCCCCCCAGCTGGTGTAATTTTGGGGTGCCCCCTGTCTGTCCCAGCCCAACCTGCCCAGCGAGGTGTTGGTACCGGCTTGCAGGGACAGATCCCCATCACCCCGACCAACGCGCTGCGGGATGCAGAGGGA